GGAACAAAATGAATATAAAACTCCTACTGGCTTCAGGGGTTTCCGCTTCTGCGGTCCCCACGCCCGCTTCCGCGCAACCGCTTCTGCTGTTTTTGTCCGCTAATGCGGAATTTCATTAAAACTCGAGGGCCGCTTCTGCGACACAAATTTCCGCTTCTGCGGAAGCTCACCTCCTGGCCAAACCCGCTTCTGCGACCGCCTGTCCGCTTCTGCGGACTCGCTTAAGCGAAAAGTGTTCCGCTTCTGCGAAACTGCCCAACTCCACTCCAGACCGCTTTTGCGACCAAGATTACACTTCTGCGGAACCGCTTATGCGGTCCATTTCCGCAGAAGCAAATAGACCAGATACCAGCAAAATCTGCCATTTCCTCAACTTGAATTTCATCCCGATAGCCATCCGAAATCACCCCGAGGCCCCCGGGACCTCAACCAAAAGCACCAACATGTCTTTAAACATCATACGAACTTGCTCCAATCATCAAAACACACCTAACAACACTAAAATCATCAATTCACTTCGGATTCAAGCCTAAGATCTTCAAGAATTTCCGAAATGCACTTTCGATCAAAAACCCGACCAAACGATGTCCGAATGACCTGAAAATTTGCACACATATCCAAAATCACTTAACGAAGCTACAGCAACTCTCGGAATTCCATTCCGACCCCCGGATCAAATTCTCACCCATCCACCGAAATTCGCCAAAATACTAACCTCGCCAATTCAAGCCTAATTCTACACCGCGACTCCAAAATCAATTCCGATCGCACTCCCAAGTCACAAATCATCCCCCGAAGCTAACCGAATCACCAGAAATCACATCCGAGCCTTCTAACTCATAATTCAACGTCCGGTTGGCCTTTCCAACTTAAGCCTTCCTTAAAGAGACTAAGTGTCTCATTTCCTATCCAAACCAATTCAATTCAACTATAACTCACTCGTTGCTGAAAATGAAACATGAAGAAGCAATAAATGGGGGAAACGGGGCTATAATACATGAGACGACGGGTCGGGTCGTCACATCCTCCCCAACTTAAACCAACGCTCGTCCTCGAGCGTACCCAGAGTTGTCCTAGAAGCTAACCAACAGCTGAATAACTTTACCAAGCATATACCCGGGATGATCCCACGTCAGCCTATCTTACATAGGTCCGACAATACAATATAGCTGAAATTTCACAGTCCATCTAGACCATAAATTGTAGAATCACATTGCACTTTCCGAAACCATACACAAGATCAGGACCTCACATCTATACTCAGAATAGGCCCGAACCAACTGTAATAACCCATACCTGCAACCTTGGTGAAATCATATGATGTACTACATAACCCAAACACTCGAAACGATAACTTCTATTCACAGTAGTTGCCCATAACAACCAAATATCGGCAGAAAACCTCTCATTAGCTAAAACCTTATTCCTACAGTTTCCTATACTGCCAACGATAAATGAAACACGCTATAAACCGTAATCATTTCTCATATCAACCATTCATGAAACCGTTTCCCTTTTGACTAATACCACAGCAGATTTCCGGGCCAAACCTCGATATTATCCTTCTAACAATCTGAAATCAAATCTGTTCGTATTCATTAATGACTCCAACGATCACCTCGAATCCAACACATCACTCTGGTGCTACGACACCTCAATACAGGCCTACGCCACGACTTGCATAATACACGCACCAACAAGAAACGGTCTGAACATACTCAAATCATGACAATTGACTCAAACGAAAGAGCTGTACCTCAAGCTCATCAGTACCATCACAACACAAGGCTGAGACCCCGTCTCACATCATAGAAATAGAATGCCTGAATCTACCTCGAAGGGTCATAACTCCACGTAGCCTCGCTACGATGCGCGATCATATCCAAACACTGCTACACATGAAGCACCTCAATATACTGTGATCAAAATCCGACAGCTACACACAATTTGATGTATGAAACCAAAGCAATTCATTACCCCCAACGGTGAAGCAAGTAATATACACCATTTAATCCTGAAAGGACACAACCGACGCGATATTCGCCGAGCAACACCCAATACGGACTTTCCTCAGAAACCAGGAAGCAAGGTATATAAGGTAACATATGGAAAACTATTCTCAACATCACACTGTTGCGGCGTGCAACCCGATCCAGATAACATACCCGTGGCGGCGTGCCACGCGATCCACACAAATATCTCACATAGGGAGATGCACATCGAACCAAATTTGTTCATTATAACAAAATACCGAGTATCGGTCGTAAGCATACTGAGTGCATAATGGTATCTACATATAGCGTTGTAAGCTACAAAACTCAAACACAACTGAGGTCCCCCCCTTCAACTTCCACTATGAATCTCGATAGCACCGCACTATATGTGCCCACAGTCCGAAAATCATAACGCCTCACCGCACAGAAAAAGAAACAACTCATAGATCTTCCCAAATCACCAACCAATTCAAGAACAATCGAATCAACCTATCCCTCAGCAATACAGCTCGGGGCTAACCAAGCTAACTCAAGCTAAATACGTAGCCACATTGGCCTGCCAACGAAATCAATACCAGGAAGCCTGAAACTACTCCTTCTACTACTATGACTCCTGCCAGAGCCGTACAATACAGTGCCCGGCACCAAATAAATACCGAAATCCACAATCTCACCCGGCGACATGCTCGGCCACAAGAAACGCATCCGGAAAAGTCCCTCAATACCGGAACTAAATCAATGGTAGAACCTTTGCACTGACATCCGCCACGAAGTCCCAATTAAGAAAAGCAATCCTTCCCAGCCGTCCGCTGGCCTTTGGAATGCAACACACTCTGCTATAACATAATCTGATGCACCTCGCCACGCGGCCTGTGGCATTTTCCGACATAGTCCATGGCACAGTAGTCTCGAATAACCCAACACTGAGACAACCAGTCTACATCTCAACATCATATCCAAAATCTAACATACCAACGAAGAAAGATCCGCTCGGGCCGCTAACGGTATCGATACACACGGTTTACAACCACTGCATAGCCGGAACATGAGAACTCCCAGTCTCCGACTCCGTATAGCACACGAATCACTGAACCTGATCCCAGATTCCACCGTATGAACACAT